CGTCCAGAAGCAAGCACATACACAGCCCGGGGAATGTGGGATGAGATGTGATACGGATGAACCCACACAAACATTGGATCAACTGATTCCTAATTTGTGTGGCCCCAAAAGAAGAAACCCATCTGACAGACTGTAGGTTAATCGGTTATAAAAACAAAAAGCGGATATTTTATTTGAGCGCTCACACTCATTGATGACCTTTGGGAACACACTTTATTCTGTCATGAGTAACTGATAAATGGTTAAATAGAATGGCGAGAAACACTAATCCGATCACGCGGATGACGATGTGTTTGGTAGACCACAAAACAACATCGACTGGATGTTTTTTAGCATAAACTTTGTTTGAACAAAAGGTCACGGGGAAATTGCAGTCTTTTGGAAACGGAGACCGCTCCAGTCACATTTGATCTATCTTGACTGAGGTTTCGACTGTTTTTTATTACATCTCTTACTGGGGCATTACTAGCTCGCGTGATTCCAATGCGAAACCATGGCATGACATTAGGTGATACATGATTGTTTGAATACAAATTGGACAAGTTGTTGAAGGGGGAGGAACAGATGATAATGACAAAGTTCGGATCATTCGATAAAAACATTTTGTGAGTTAGCTCAGTCTACAGTGATCAACAAAATCTTCAGTACGAGTAGTAAAGAGCCATTATCGATAGGTCTAAATGAATTTACCGGGGAAAAATGACACGGGAATGGAAACAGAGTCCATGTGATAAATTCTAACGCACGTTTTTTTTTATCACACACCTAAGTGTGCTAAACAGCAGACAGGGTGAACCCCATAGTCACGAGGACCCGCTGTTCAGTGGTGGAAACAGGCAACCTAAGTCCAATTGGGATGAGCAGTAGAAGTTACGGACAGTGTCATAGTTATCAAATCGATCAGGAGATGCGATAATCTAAGGCTTGGGTGATGGATTGGTAAACTGCTTAAAGTCCTCGTACAATTGGTGCGGCATTTACTGAACTGGGCGATGACGGTAAAGCTATAAATAATCAAAATCGTGTTTTAACTAGTTACTCATCATCGGATTGGTGTGATTTCAATTGGCATCACACGCTATACATAAGCAAAAAAAACAGATTATTGCACACCAACTATTGAAAGAGAGTGGATGCAGTTAGGACTATGTACAACAGTTGACCATGTAACTCGGGGTCTCTAACCGCAAATAACTCGGATCTCACGGGGTCCAACGAGACAATTTGACCTTAGCTACTCATTCTAATAGCCGTGAAGTTGACCTCCGGTTTTTTAATCCTAATAGCTGCTGTCTACCTGTGCATGTTCTTTCACTAAGATTACAGCCCTTAGGTGTACCTGTTTGTCCTACGTAAGCAGTTGCGATTAGGTATTTTAAACGAAATGTTAACATCTCACTACATGTGTACCCGTTCGGTCTCGATGAGATAAATAAAGGGGACCCGGTGTTTCTAATGTATTTGACTCAGTGAAAAGGATAATGTCAGGGATTGGCAGCCACCAACCACTTTCATGCAAATGTTCTTTACGGCGAAAACCACAAGTTGAAGAAGCTCCGGTAAAGGGCAATGCACAACACATAACCCGGTCAACATGGAATGCATTCGCAGAGCACTGCTTTCAGACAACGTTATCCAGACGCCAACCGTGTTTCCCCATTCTCGATTGATGACCGACAAGCTATTCAGTGAAAGTGACGGAGTGTTTGAGCACTTAAAATCGGTGTCACAGTTACCATGGGGACGAGATTTCTGCATGTGTGAGAAGGCCTGATTAAACAATTGACACACTAATATCGACATTTCTTCTATTACTGGGTGCACTCATATGAATAAACTGACAATAAACAACCGGCCTGACCAGCGGCAAGAACCGCGAAACCGCTCGTGTGCTTCTAGGGCAATTCTGTCCGGTAATTAAGATACTAATTACTGTAAAATGCCCAAACAAAGACGCTTCGCTCAAGTTTGTTGTGGTTAGTAGTATCTGAACCAAATACAGAACATCGAATCAAAGTATTGATTCATACATGAATTAGTTCTGTGAAAGCTCTGTCGAAACAAATATACCCGGTGTTGCAAATGAGATATTTGTGAGTAACCAACCGTCTTTTACTTTCTTTCATTGAATGTGTAACTTTATAGTTAATTTTTGAGACACATGAATCGGCCATTCAACGAGTTACCAGGAGGTAAACAAGTAAAAAATGTCTTTTTACTTCCTTTTTTATTTAATGAATATACAAATCTACAGTCAACTTTCAGGAAGGGGGAGCCCCGGCCATACAAAGGCTACCTGGGGAAATACACAAATAGGGAAGACGGGCGGCGGTGGAGCGGCTGTAACTCGGGACTTTCGGGTCGCAACTTGGTGACCTAACTACTTGGCCTCACCAGGTTTAGAACACAATATTCGGGGTGATGTTTTTAGTGACTTACATCACTCTGCTATGTGAGCGTAAAAAGGAGGAAATCACGCAACTGTAATACCAAAGACGAGAGGGAAATTCGTATTGTCAGCCTTTTTGCGCATGGGGCAGTTGTGTGTATCCGCTGGCATTGCATATATCCAGTTGAAATAGGTCGGTTAACATTTGCAAACCAACTTTGAAAGTAAAAGTTCACTGATGAATTTCCGCAAAAACAATCTTCTTTAACATGAGACAGCAAAGTTGAGATTGTAAAGTAATGACTGATCTATGGGTGGTCGCGTCCGGAACTCATACGGTTCACCTGGATGTTAAACAATCTGTAACAATGCATTGCTAATTGTGAAACCTAAGTCATTGTGAAATTCTCTTACACTTGATCAGAGGGATGTTAAAATTTGACACACATTGTTTGAACACGAGTAGTATTCACCAACCGCAATATCCTTTATCTAAGTTTGTGTGTTAGTCAGACTTCGGAGATGTGCAAGGCACGTGGTAAATCAAATGTGACACAATCATCCAAATGATTTATCACCAGATGAGAGAAGCCGGGTGGAATTAGAAACGAACCTGGGCAGAAAGATGGATATGGGAAACTGAGCCAGCTCATCGGTGAAAATCTGGATCAACTATTTACAAGTATCGTGCAGGGGGGGGGACGAGGCGAACGGATCAACCGGTCTTTCGTGTATCGCTGATTAGCAAGGTCAAATGCGACCGTGCGCAACCATTCTGTTAATTTAGATCAAAACACTTGATGGCTGATCGTTGTATGAACCTGATGAACGTGGGATTTCCGCTAAACCGGCATTTATAATCAGATACATTGGTTTTGGACAAACATGTTCGGATGAACCACGAAAAAGGATCGACAGAGAGGGAGCTCGAAGCGTGGGAACCATGAAGAAAAAAAACAGTCAATACTTGTGCTATTGTGATCCACAGAAATTGTTTGTGACTGACTGTTTGAGTAAAAGGAGTTCGTGCCCAGTGACCAATGTCTGCACCATTGGTTGTATGCATGCTTGCTAGCGTGTAAACACGTGACGTTACACCGAAAAACTAGACCGCTGTATTGCACAAGTTCGAACTGTGGTTCATATGAATTTCCAGGTGGGGAGAGGGAGAGACCGATTGACTTTTAACTGAAGTTATACTTCGAGAGGTATGAAACCCTTGACCGGTAGATCTAATGAAATAGGTCGTATCACACATTGAGTTCGGCTAGGGTACTCGGAATAGAACTGATCAATAGCTGGAAACATTAAGCAATATAGATGAGCGTGGTAACCAGTGGTGTTTACGCATCGATTTATTTCTCATAGTGTTATAATTCCAGAATGCGGCGCCCGATCAAGGGAAGTTATTTATCGCAGACCACAGTTGGGATACCAATAATTTGCCATACACGTTACAGGTATCTCATTTGAAACATGTCATCGCTATTCCCGGCAACACACCGGGTAATGAATGAAGCAATTAACCTTTAGTGGTCCTGTTAATTTTTGATCGTTAAAGGAAAACGCCGACTGCACTATTTTGCATACTACTCACAAATGTGAGTAGCACCTCACATTAGGTACCAAGTTTTCAAATATCCAGCAAATTTTCAGTGCTGGTATTTTAACATTTTGTTCATTTTGAATACTCTCCTCATTGACTGACCGTTTGGATGACAGAAAGAAGGATAGGTGAAACCGGATTCGAAAAAGAAGAAAAAACGATTCACGAGAAGATTGATCATGATCTGTCATATCAATCAAGCTGTGACAGCAAATTTCATGGTTCTGATTGGAAAACTAACTCGCAAAACTTTTGTCACCCTTTCAATCGCTACGGGGAAACGGAACTGATAAGTTGTGCAGTTTTCAAGGACAAATATGTCGGATTTCATTGTTATTTTTTCACTGTCTTTTATTGCGTAAACCAGACATAGAATCACGTTGGGGATAAGCGATACACCCACGTTACGAGCTGCGGAAGAGCACACGGAAAGCTAGGTAGCGGTAGTGGTGGAATTCAGACAGAACTGGTGAATAAGTGTGCGAATGGGGGAGGGGGGGGGGGGGGNNNNGGGGGGGGTTGAGACCGTTTAAGAACCATCGCCGATGAGATGCGGCGGTCGGAAGTATAGAAACAGCCAGGGCAAGGAGCAGGATGCATATCACACTCAGTATGCGGAATCACGAAACCGGTAAGTGTTTCTAACGATTGGGATGGGATTTGAATTAGAGGTCGACTGGGCATATATTAAATCTAAGCAACATGAGGATAAGAGGTAAACGTGAGCCGGAGATAAGGAGAAGATCAAGAGAATCGGCACATTTATCAAGGCGAGCAGAAACCATAGTAACGAAATGGATCAACTGTGACGGAAAGTTTGTAATAGCCAACGGGTCAGTTTCCAGTCCGTAGGGGTGATATCAGATAAATGTTTGAGACACCCAAAGTTCTGAGCATTCGGATGACGTACGATGTTGATGTTAGTGTTACGGTTATTCGCCATGATGCACTACTCAACAGTCTCCGTGCGATGGTCAAAAAACGGGCCAATTCGTCACCGTTAGGGAATCGGGAGATAGTGGCAAAAATAATGATTGGACGATAAAATTTTGCGTATAGACCAAAAAACCCCAACTTCTTCAGGAAAACGGTAATGTAGAGCGATGTACAAATAAGAAGTGGATAATAACTGAGAGGCGGGGNATAGCTGAGTACCAAATGACAATAGTTATCCTATTGTCATGAAATGAAAGAAGACCGACAGAAACGACGCTTAAAATCAATAGACCGCTTTTGGAGAGAAATATCGGTTCAGAATGTGCTTTGTTCCTCGAGTGTTCACGTTTTACGTGTACCGCATGGAAACCGGCAAACCACATAGGAGTTTTATAAACAAGGGAGGATATACTCCCTGGGTGAAAACCTGCATCATCTTTTATTTTCATGGCTCAATTATTTTGTATGAAAGTGGTCACGATTGCATTGTGACCGAATAAGAGTGAAAGGACTAAAATAACATGATAATTTTGATTTTCCTAAAATATGAGCTGAATGAGAAAACCCGTTTGAGCGTCACTAAAGGAAATATCATGGTTTGCGGTGAATTTCGTTGTGTACCACGGAGCAAATGAACGGTGAACCAAAACGCTAGGAAGCGCTGTACACCTGTTTCACATTAGTCGAGTCTAATCACATATGCACGAATCCGTCGAACCAACTCAGAGCAGAACCCGAGACCTCACAAGTAGAACTCAAGCATACCGTCCAAAGTGAACACCGGGCAACTGATCAGATCGTTGGCTTTTTCTTTACACACATTCATTAACAACTGGGAATGGACGAGAACTCACTTTTAACTCCTGAGTAGCTTGTTCACAATCAAACGGAGTCAGGTAGAGCGAGTACTCATTCAACCGCTTCTGTAAATCCTCAATACGGACCAAAGTGTCGTCCAGAATCTGTGGAACAGGAACAGGTAACGTTCGTGAGGAGTGGGCCATGAGTAAACGAGGCAAGCTCAGATTTGGGACTCAAGTCAAGCATATGTTTTATACACCCCGAAAGGTGAATATTCAGTGGTCTAATTTGGAAGTGATTATGAAACTGCGTGTGTTTCTTTTCAAATGCTTCATTCGATGTGTATAGGGCCACTTCGGTATGCCAAATAAAGGACATTTAGTATCAAAAACAGCTATTTCACACTCGCACGTGAATAGAAATCTAACTCAGTAATGATGGAGGAGAGTGATTTAATTCAGTGCAAACTCATACAATAGATTGGAGGAATTCATAATGCGGAAATGTTAGAGTTAAACCTGTGATTTGTGGCGCCGTGCTAAGAAAGCGATAGTAGAACAACCGGTGAACACCTGATTCAAAGTAAGACATGAGCTAGAAATAAAAGAACACACTATTTGTTGTTCATAACATTGATAAAGGGAAGTGAAATGCACATACTCGAACAATCTTATGTAATGTTTGATTGCGAACCTTAGTGTGATGAACAGCCAACTGCGTGCACCCCACAGTTGCGAAGACATGGTGTTTAGTGATGGCAACTGGTAACCAAGGCCCCGAGGCCTGTATTGGCGAACCACGTAAGGCCCTGATAGGTTAGGCGTGGTATGGAACCGGACGACAGCATAAGTGAGCACCCCCCTCATGGTTCACCGACTCGAGTATCGCCCTGAATGATCGATTTTTGTCCACTCCTGTTGATGGTAAAAAACACCGCCTCATTGAAGCGGTGAATGAGTGAGTAAGTCTAGCGCGACCGAGGCTGTAGAAGCATTAAGAAAGTGGGACAGGGGAACAAAGAGCAGAGAAAAAACCAAGATACTAAACCCCGACCATACTGTGCGCTTCGCGGGCTCCAGAGTGGTGAACCACAATTCGCCTTGGGATAAAGGTGTGTTGCGAATCGGGCAACGGTTGCTTGGACAACTTGAATTCTAATGTACAGGGACTTGGCGTGTTGAGCGACCAGAGATTTCGACCATAGTATAACCGATCGGGAGCAATGAAAATATGGTGGACGACTAGTGGGATCGTGTTTAACCACAGATGAAGCGAACAGGTTATTGACACGGACGAAAGCTTTGCCTACCTCGAGAGATCCATTACAACTGGCGCGGATGTGACTGAGTCAATCCCGTAATGAGCGAATAAGGCAAAATTGACCTATGAAATTGCTTTCGCGAGAGTGACATGTCACTTTCAATAGAACGGCACTTTTGTGCAGTATTGTGTGCATAAGGTGGAAGCACCGAGTGAGTTCAGGGAAGTTATCAGTCGTTTATGCAAGATAATCTCATTATGCCTTAACCTTGGTTGGAACACGTTCTAATGCATTGAAAGAGGCAGCAACGTAGAAAAGTCATGAAACGCGAGGTTTCCGGGATCAGGCAATAGTCGGAAGAAGGTTGGGGTAGCCCGAACTGGTGTGAGAGTGCGATGACCTCGGTCTGTACACTTGATTGTGTAGATCATGTCATATGCTCCGGATCAAGACTTCGAAATCAGCTTATTAGATTGGCTGGCATGCGAATGCCATACAGAGCAGAATAAAAGGAATCAGCTTAATTTCGTAATACAGTTTACACACTACCAAAAAATGAAAAACATTTGTATAGCATAAGAAACAGGATAAAACAAATTTGTAACTTACCTTGGTCAGGTCAGGCATAGATAACGCATCCATCTGTCTCTGTTGAATGGCCTCGTCCAAATCGGCCAAGATCTCTGCCTTTGTTTGGAGGAATTTCGGTAAAAAGTCACATTGTTTTTTTGATTTGAGACCACTCCCGGCATCATCGTTTAGATCACATTCGCCACGGTCCTGATTTCGACGACTAAGTTGAGCAGCTTTAGTTTGAGCATGGCGTTCGGCCATACGACTGAATAAAGCTTCTCGCGCGCTCCGCGGACCTGTGAGGACGGTTGAATTGTCCCCTTCACATGGGGTGGAGGACATCATGCAGCTAAAATCACAAAGGAAACCAGTTGAGAGTGTCTCCCATTGTGGAGCGTATTAATGTATACGAAAAAGTTGTTCTTTTTTCGGTTTAGATGAGTCTAACATTAGCAAACTGAACACCAGCAGCAAAACTGATCGTACAGTAATGTAGTGTGAGCGAGTTTTCAACTTCAGTGAGAAGTCACGTCATCGTCACAGGTTGCAATGTTTATTCCAGATTGGGTTGTCCCGAATTAATTCTGGGATGCCAAAGAAATTCGCGTTGTTCAATTCACATCGGAAGTGCAAATATGAGGATGACTTGACCCAGGATTACTGAATACGCATAACTGACGAGCGGTTGATTTTAGGAGAATTTTTGCCCAGTCATTCGTCTACTTCTTTATATATATACTTCCTGGGTACAAGTATATGAATGAACTGACAAAAGATTACCCGATACGCATGCCTGGCGAGCGGCAAGAACCGCGAGACCGGTCGTGTGCTTCCGGGGAAATTTTGTCCAGCCATTCACATACTACTTATTATGAAATATATATACGTCTGGTTGAGCGAACGTTTACTTAGGCCTAAGTACATCGTTCGAAAACCAGCAGAGGAGTTCGTCAGACCATTCCTGTTCAACTTCGTAGCAGATGAAATTCTGGAGAACGCACTTAGTGGTCGGGAGAAAAGCTATGCGACTTGGAGTACGCTGATGACATTTGTCTGTTCTAATGTACAGAGAATGGGCAGAGCGTCCTCGACATACTAGTAAGTTCTAAAACTCCATTTGTTATGGGCTTTGTACCTTCAAAGTGCAGAGATTCGACAAGATCGGATGTCGTCGGCTCTGATGTTCAATAGTCAAGAGTTAGCTTTAGGGGATTGTTTCTCTTATTCAGTAAGTTGCATGATAAAAGACGGTAGCATAGTCAAGCATGTAACCACCAGCATTTCCAAGTCAAGAGCAGCTTACGCAAGATGTGATTTTACCTTGAAACCGAACGGTCGCGTAAGCTACAGTGTGGGATCAGTTCTGCTTTACGACTGCGAGGCACTTAATTCATGCGTGGAAGATGTTCACCATCTGATTGCTTACGTAGTTTGCTGAGCGCACTTGGTAATAATTCGGTGGAAAACTCGTTCTCATGGAATTTAGATCACTCGGCTTTGCTGGTTAGGACACGTATTGCCCAGCTGTCGTCTACCGCACCGGGTCTTATTCGTAGTTGCGGCTCCAAATTGGAAGAAACCGTGTGGAGGTCGACAGATGACGTGGAAACGAGATGTGAAGAAATGCACGGAGCGATTAGGTAGAATTAGTTGTATCCCGTCTTCCTGTAGACCTCAGCGCAATCGAAACGACAGACGGTATCAGTCCCTGCTGATATCTTTCCACTTCGCAATATACCCAGAGAGATAGATCTCCAGCCGGAAGAGAACCAGTAACTCAAGTTCCGAAACTCCGAGTATTGAACCCCACCGAAAAAAACCGTATGCGTAAGATTTAGATGGGGCAGGGCAAAGCTGTTGAAGCACAT